AATACAATGGAAATTTAGTTTTAAGTACTAAACTAATTGAATATACCTCCCCTTTGTATACTGCATTACAATTTGATTTGAGTATTACAGTGAAAATACTTTGAGATAAGACAAATATTATTAGAGTAGTACCTTTAAAATAATTCTGGCATACAGACAAACCTCTCAGTAAATGCCAGTGCCCTTCTTCCCTTAAGAATGAAACTGAATGGGGACACCTGGGTGGCTCGGTTGATTAAACATCCTACTCTTGATTTTGGCTCAGGCTATCATATCATGGGTCATCAGATCAAGTCCAGAGTTGGGCTCCGTGTTGGGTGTGGACTTTTTCTCTCCCTCTTCCCCTTCCCCCTAAAAAAATGAAAACTGAATGGTATTTGGTGCTCATTGAGACATCCTGAACCATGGAAAAGCACTTGAAAGCCTAACAAATGAAGGAAAGAGGACAAATTAATGCCTTAGAGAACTTCTAAGTATTTATTATGTGTCAGGCATTGTGTTATACCTTCTCTCTTTCAATCCTTATAGCAACCCGATGAGGTAGATACTGTTATCATTTCTGTTAAACTATACAGAGAAGTGGTTAAGGGCATGGTCTCAGAGTGGGGCTGCCTAGGATTTTTGAATTTTGGCTCTGCCACCTATTAACTATGGCCTTAGATAAGTTACTGATTATTCTGTGCCTCAGTTTCATCATTCCTCCAGATGGGTGTACCTACTGTCATGTCAGTTTGGGTGATGCATGCAAGTAGTTTAAAAGCAATGCTTCCTATATAGTAAAGTGTTTATCAGTATTGGATGAAATGACATTAAACAACTTTAGATCCTAATTAGATTAACAGTCTTTTTTCTTTATATTCTGGTAACACCATCACATGCTTTAGCAATTGTAGATAAAATGAAAAGGGTGGAAGGAGTGCATTAGAACGTATTTCCAGTTGTTTTATTATTTCTTTAAACTAATGTTATTTTATTTGGATTATATATGATCAACTTCTTTTTACAATTGACTTTTAAATTTTATTTTTCAGGTGACTTAAAAAATTGTAGTATAGCTGACATACAATATTATGTTATTGGTTTTGAGATATATAAGGCATATAATGAAAAGTTTGGCAATTATGTACATTATGAAATGCTCACTATAAGTGCTTACTATCAGTCATTATACATTATTGACTGTATTCCCTATGCTGTGCTTTACATATCTGTCCTTACGTATTTTATAATTGGAAGCTTGTGCCTCTTAATCACCTTCACCTATTTCACCCATCTCCTCTCCTTTCCCCTCTGGCAGCATTCAGTTTGTTTTCTGTATTTATGACTCAATTTCTGTTGTTTGTTTTTTTGTTTTTTTTAGATTCCACATGTAAGTGAAATCATATGGTATTTGTCTTTTCCTGTCTGACTTATTTTACTTAGGATAATACCCACTAGGACCATCTGTGTTGTCAGGAATAGCGAGATTTCATTCTTTTCCATGGTGGAGTAATATTTCATATATACCATATCTTTTTTATCCATCTATCCATCAGTGGATACTTAGGTTGTTTCCATATCTTGGCTATTATAAATAATGTTGCAATAAGCATAGAAATGTATGTATCTTTTTGAATTAGTATTTTTGTTTCCTTCTAGTAAATACCCAGAAGTGGAATTACTGGGTTGTATATTTACTTTTTTGAGGAATCTCCATACTGTTTTCCATAGTGGCTGCACCAATTTACATTCCCACCAACAGTGCATGAGTGTTCCTTTTACTCCACATCCTCACCAACACTTGTTATTCCTTGTCTTTTTGATATTAGTCATTCTGACTGGTGCGAGGTGATGTCTCAGGTGATTTAATTCTTAATGTAAAAATATCTTGTCTTCCACTTAGTATTGTTCCTGGAGAAATTAATGTAGAATCAAACATTTCTTCATTGCTCTCAAGGTTTAGAATAGCACTCAATTTTTTTCAATAAATAGGTGAGAAATTATTATATGCCAAGAACTGATCCAGGTTTTAGGGATATAGTTCTAAAAAAGTCCTTTCCTTCCTTCTATCCTAATATGGTAGAGAGAGAGAGAGAGAGAGATAAAACCAAAGAAAATGGCAAGATGGTGTCAGAATTGTTAAGAGGTATGCAGGAAATAGTGTAATCAATAGGGAGTACCAGAAGAGTTGGCTTCTTTTAGCCAGATTGTTAGAGAAGGCCATTGAGCTTGTAGAAAGGCCTTGAGAAGAGAATGAGCTTGACGTGCTGGGGACAAAAAAGGCTTGTGTAGCTGGAATTCAGTAAAGGGGGGATAGAAAAGCAGGAAATGGATTGTAGGCAAGAGCTGGAACAGGAAGAGTCTATACGCCAAGGTGAGGAATTTGAATTTTCTTTTGATTGCACTAAGAAGCTATTGGGTGTGTGATGGTGGGACAGAGTTAAGGTTTTAAGTAGTAGAATGAGATATGATTTATTCCTGTGGAGATGGGCAGGTGGGGACAAAACCTGACTTGAGACTATCGCTGTTATTCATCCAGTTGATGGTGGTAGCTTGGATTAGGATTGTTAGAAGTGGGATAATGAGGAGTGATTAGGTTGAATATGTATTTTGGAGGTAGACCTGACAGGACTTACTGATAATTTGGGTGTGTGACATAAGAGAAAGATATCAAGGATAACTCTTAAGATTTAGACCTGAGGTATCAGGTAGTTAAAGTGAAAATGCAATTATTTGGCAAAAACTGAGGTTCTTAGAACTTTGAGGAATAACAAATTGATCCAAAGGTATCATACATTTTTAAAATACCTTAATTTTGTATCTGATTATAATAATAAGGTATGTACATTGTAGAACATTAAGAAAAATTTAGTTGTAATGGCAATTTCAACCAAAGTATTAACCTTCAGCGCATTCTCTTCTAGATTGCATTAAATATATGCTTATTCTTTCAGTAAATAATTATTTGGTGCCTCCTAGGAATGAGGCACTGTGGTAGGCTTTGGAGATTCAACAGTATACAAGACAAAGTCCCTGTCCTTATACATTCTAATGGGGGAGATAGGTAAGAAATAAGTAAACAAATGAATAAGATGACTGCAGATTGTAATGAATCTATAACAGAAGTGAGGGAGAAAGTGAATATCCAGAGACTACCAGTATAGATTTTTCTTACACAGTTGAGTTCATCTGTAACAATTTTATATCCTTTTTTTTCTCATATCCCAATGTGATAGGGGTGCCAGGCTAATTCAGTGGGGGGGGGGGGAGTGTCTTCAACAAGTGGTGCTTGCACAATTGGATATCCACATGTAAGAGGATGGATTTGGATCCCTGTTTCACACTATATACAAAATGTAACCCAAAATGGCTCCTAGACCTAAATGTAAAAGCTAAAGCTGTATAACTCCTAAAAAGAAAACATAGGCATAAATCTTTGTGAGTTTGGGTTAGGGAGATTTTTTGGAGGAGTGGTTTGGACAAATTTTTTAGCATTTGTAGGCAAAAGCACAAGTGACAAAAATAGATCAGTTGGACTCTATTAGAATTACAGACTTTTTTACATCAAAGAACACCATTAAGGAAGTGAGAAGACAACCCATGGAATGGGAGAAAATCTTTGCAAATCATGTCTAACAAGGAACTTGTATCCAGAATATATTAAGGACTGTTGTGACTCAGCAGTAAAAACGCAATTCAATCATGGACAAAGGCTTTCAGTAGACATTTCCTTAAGGAAGATATACAGATAGTTAATAAGCACATGAAAACATGCTCAAAATCATTAGCTATTGGGGAAATGCAAATCAAAACCACAGTGAGGTACTACTATATACCTACTAGGATGGCTATAATAAAAAAGACAATAATAATGTCAGCAAGGCTGTGGAAAAGGAAAAACCCCTATATGTTGTTGGTGGGAATGTAAAATGGTATAGCCACTTTTGGAAAATGTTTTAGCAGTTCCTTAAGAAGTTAAACTTGGGAATTGCCATTCACCCAGCGCTTTCACTCTTAAGTTATATACCAAGTGAAATAAAAAGACCTGTCTACATAAAAATTTGTACATGAATGTACATAATAGCATTATCCATAGTAGACCCCAAGTGTACACAACCCAGATTTCCATCAGCTGATGGTCAGATAGATAAAATGTAGTATATCCATACAATAGAATATTATTTGTCAATAGAAAGAAATGAAGTACCAATTCATGCTTCAACATGGATGAACCTCGAAAACATGCTGAGTAAAAGAAACCAGTCAGAAAAAGACTCATATTGTAGAATTCCATTTATATACAATATCCAGGATCGATCTCAAGAGACAGGAAATAAAATAATGGTTGGATAGGTCTGAGGTGGGTGACAGTGGGAAAGAAGAGCGATCACTCAGTACACAGTTTCTTTTTGGGATGTTCAAAGTGTTCCAGATTAGATTGTGGTGGATGTACAATTTTGTGAATATACTAAAACCCACTGAATTTATACTTTTAAATGGGTAAGTTTTCTGGCATATTAAATATATCTATAAAAACTTTATATTTTTGATGGTATCATCCATGTACAGTGATGGCATTAAATCATCCCCCTATGTAATTTAAATCCATGATTGTAACTAACGCCTTTTTTTCCTTCCCCAAACAAAAGGTGTCACCTATTGCTGAACCAACCTACCAGTGCAGAAGCATAATAACAGAGAAAAATCATTTCCCCCATAAAACATGCCCATTGTTGGGCACCTGGGTGACTCAATAGGTTAAGTATCTGCCTTTGGCTCAGGTCATGATCCCAGAGTCCTGGGATCAAGCCTTGTATCAAGCTCCTTGCCTGGAGGGGAATCTCTTTCTCCCTCTCCCAACTTGTGTACGCGTGCACTCTCTCACATTCTCTCTCAAATAAGATCTTAAAAAAAAAAAAAAAAAGCCTACTCAGGTAGTAGTGATGTTTACAGAGTGATAGGATATGAGCATGTGACTTTCATGCATTACAAATATGTGTGCCATCTCATGTGAGTGTCCTTTACAGACCCAGCTTGGTTCTTCTCCAGTGCCTCCTCTTGGAGTTGTACCTGATTTCATTGCCAGTTTTCATCTGAATCTGCTGGGGAATGGGACGATTCTGCTTTTGTTTCTTGGCCATGAATTGCTTGATCCTGAAAGTCTTGTGAGAAGACATTGCTTGGAATAGTCAACCACACATACCACGATGGCAGAGAAAAGGAGAGAGAATACTGTCATTTTTGCGCATAAATCTTTTCATTTGCATTATTTTTCAAAATACAGTTCTAGTTATGCAGTCACTGAATCAAAAAGTTTGTGTATGTGTATATATATTTCTAACTTTAAAAATATGTTCATAGAAAATGTGGAAAATACAGAAGACTAAAGAGAAGATAAAATTCACTTATATTTCCACTGATAGAGATAAAATTCCTTTCCTTTTCTCTATACTGTTTTACATAGTTGAGAAACACTGTGCATAAAACTTTATATTTACTTTTTTTTCACCTCAAGTAATGTTTCTTCCATGTCTTTATAAACTTTCCATAAGCATGATTTTGATAGCTACATCAACTATCTTGGAGGTGTACTGTACCTTTCTTTGTAATTCTCCTATTTTTGTTTATTTGGCTTTTGATATTATGCATATTATTCCCCCAGAAAATTCCTTGAAGTGGGCTTACTGAGTTAAAGTGTCAAAGGGGGGCATCTGGGTGGCTCAGTGGTTGAGTGTCTGCCTTTGGCTCAGGGTGTGATCCCAGGTCTGGGGATCGAGTCCTGCATTCGACTCCCTGCGAAGAGCCTGCTTCTCCCTCTATGTCTCTGCTTCTTTCTCTGTGTTTCTCATGAATAAATGAATAAAGTCTTTGGAAAAAAAAAACTGTCAGAGGATTTGGATTATTTTAAGGCTCTTAATGTAAATGGCCACATTGCTTTCTGAAAGGTATGAGTAAAACAGTTGCCTATGGTGGAAGACGAAGCTGGAAAAGTAGGTTGGTTCAGATAAGAAAGGGCCTTCTGTGCTCTGTTAATGAATATGAACTTTATCTAGAGGTGCTTTGGAATTGGTCAATATTTTTAATATTGGGAGTGATAGGAGATGTTAAGAGTAGATGAGAAGTTGAGATATGAAATATACATTTAAGGAAGAGTTGATAGGACTTAGAAATTGAGTGTGACTAGGGAACAAAAGTAGGTTAACCAACCACATTTATTCTCTTAGGTTCATTGACATACTAGCTGATTATCCAGAGAGAAACCAAATTGTTAAACCAAAGAAAAATCTTTTGTCTTTAGCTTATTATGTGTTCAAAATGATCTTCCTCAAATGGAAGTAGAATATTTTTTATGTTGTTGTTGAAGTAAAGACTAGAAATAATGTATAATTTTTCCATTCAGTATAATTTACATGAAGTAAAATTTACCATGTTTAGTGTAAGTTCTGCAATTTTTGCAAATATACAGTTGTGTAACTACCATGACAAAATATAGAATAGTTCCTTTACTCCAGAAAGTTTCCTTATGTTAATCCTTTTTCCCACCCCTAACCACTGATCTGTTCTTTGTCCCTATAATTTCACCTTTGCAAGAGTATCCTATAAATGAAATTATCCAATCAGACACTTTCAGTCCAGCTTCTTTTCACTTACCATAAAGCATTTGTGCATCAGCAGTTTGTTCCTTTTATTGTGAGTAGTATTCCCCATTGGAGGAATAGAGTCCTTTTTAATTATTTCCTTTGAAGGGTGAGATAGAATACTGTAGAGATCTTTTTTCTTTTCCTGTACCGATAAATGCTTGAAACAGTCATTCTCTCCATCTTGTTGTAACTACTGATAGATAGATCTTATTATTACCCAGTGCTCTAGGGCACCTGGGTGGCTCAGTCGGTTGAGTGTCTGACTCTTGATCTCAGCTTGGGTCTTGATCTCGGGGTCATGAATTTGGGCCCCATGTTGGGCTCTGTGCTGAGAGTGGAGCTTACTTAAAGAAAAAAAAAATAGTGCTCTTATATTTTCAATTGTGGAATCAAACAACTATTTAATAGTCATGTAGATTGTACAACTTTTGAAATGTGTATTTTTTATGGGATATTGATTTCTTAAACGTTATACTCTTTGCATGTTGATTATTATATACATTAAGGCCTCCGTCATTTATTCTGAAATTAAGTGAAACTTATATATCAGGCATTGTTTTTAAAAAACAGTATATTTGTGACTTTTAAAACAATACTAAGAGATCTTATAGATTAAGTAAACATTTAATAAGCAGCTTCACAGTTTTAACTAGATGGGAGGTTGCATGTGTTAGGGGGAATTGATAAAGATACTAAGACTTAAGGTGATACCTCATTGTGGTATTGATTTGCGTTTCTGTGATTAGTGATGTTGAACACTTTCATCTATCTGTTGGCAATCTGTATGTCTTTAGAAAAATGTCTGTTTAGATCCTCTGCCCATTTTTAAATTGGATTGTTTGCTTTTTTGCTATTGAGTTATCTAAATTCTTCATATGTTTTGAATATTGACCCCTTATCAGATATATGATTTGCCAATATTTTCTTCCATTTGGTAGTTTGCCTTTTTATTTTGTTGCTGGTTTTCTTTGTTGTGCAGAGCATTTTAGTTTGATGTAGTTCCCCTTATTTATTTTTGCTTTTGTTGCCTTTCCATTTGCTATTAAACTAAAAAATCATCACCAAGACCTACATTAAGGAGCTTACCTCCTGTTTTTTCTTTTAGTTATGATTTCAGGTGTTACATTGAAGTCTTTAATTCATTTTGAGTTAATTTCTGTGAATGGTGTAAGACAGTGGTCTAGTTTCATTCTTTTGTATGTGGCTGGCCAGTTTTAAAACACCATTTTTTGAGGAGACTGTCCTTTCCCCCAACGTATATTCTTGGCTTCATTGTTGTAAATGAATTGACTAAATATGCATTGAATGGCTATTATCAAAAAGACAAGAACTAGCAAGTGTTGGTGAAGATGTGGAGGAAAGGGAACCCTTGTGCACTGTTGGTGGGAATGTAAATTGGCGCAGCTATTATTGAAAACAATATGGAGGTTCCTCAAAAAATTGAAAATGGACCTACTGTATGATCCAGTAACTCCACTTTTGGGTTTATCTAAAGGAAACAAAAAATCAAAAAGATGAATGTACCCCATGTTCATTGCAGCATTACTTGCAGTAGCCAAGGCATGGAAACAACCCAAATGTCCGGGATGGATGATGGATAAGAAAATGTGGCATGTGCGTGTGGGCTGTAAAAAAGATTTTGTCATTTGCAACAATATGAGGGGACCTTGAAGGCATTATGCTATGTGAAATAAGACAGAAAGACAAATACTGGATAATCTCACTTATATGTGGAATCTAAAACAAAATCCACCCCTCCCCCCGCCCTTAACTCATAGATACAGAGAATAGGCTGTGCTGTCCTTGTATGCTTCTGGCTGCACCACTCGTATTGTCATGGACTCTGGGGATGGTGTCACCCACACTGTGGCCACCTGTGAAGGGTATGCCCTGCCTCACACCATCCTGTGTCTGGACCTGGCTGCCTGGGACCTGACAGACTGACTACCTCATGAAGATCCTCATGGACTAGTACAGAGGACAGATTGGTGATTGCCAGAGATGGTCAAAAATGGTTGAATGTGGTCAAAAGATAAAAACTTCCAGTTACAAAATAAATAAGCATGGGGATGTAATGTATAGCCTGGCAGCTATAGTTAATAATGCTGTATTATATGAAAACTGCTAAAAGGGCAGCTCCCGTGGCACAGCAGTTTAGCGCTGCCTGCAGCCTGAGGTGTGATCCTGGAGACCCAGGATCGAATCCCACGTTGGGCTCCCTGCATGGAGCCTGCTTCTCCCTCTGCCTGTGTCTCTGCCTCTCTCTCTCTCTCTCTTTCTCTCTCTCTCTCTCTCTCTGTGTGTGTGTGTGTGTGTCTATGAATAAATAAATAAAATCTTAAAAAAAAAACTGCTAAGAGAGTAAATCTCTAAAGTTCTTTATAAGAAAAGTAACTGGTGTTGGATGTTACCTAGACTTTTTGTGGTGATCATTTCACAGTATACCAAGTATTGAATCATGGTGTATACTTGAAACTAATATATGTCAATTTATAGCTCAAACAGCTCTGTGCTGTTATGAAAACATTCATGTTGGGCAGCCCCGGTGGCGCAGCGGTTTAGCGCCACCTGCAGCCCAGGGCATGATCATGGAGACCCTGGATCGAGTCCCACGTTGGGCTTCCTGCATGGAGGCTGCTTCTCCCTCTGCCTGCGTCTCTGCCTCTCTCTCTCTCTCTCTGTCTCTCTCTCTCTCTCTCTCTCTCTCTCTCTCTCTCTGTGTGTCTCTATGAATAAATAAATAAAATCTTAAAAAAAAAGAAAAAAGAGAAAACATTCATGTTTCCCTAATATGATAGCTAATGAATTGTTACTTATGAAATCAAATTGTGTAAAATTTTTCCATCTTTACAAGTTTTTTCTTGTCAGTCCGTTATGAGGAGTCTGAAAAAGTAGGAACATTATACATTTATGTAAACAGTATTTTAGAGGACTAAAGTTCTACATCTTTAAGAAAAAGACAATAATAATAGCTAATCTCATCAGGGCCAAAATATTCCAACAGAAATCAATAAAAATTACTTAGAAGATTTTTTTGCTTTATTTTTTCCTGAAAATACTGAAGTTTTGAAATGAATGATTTTCCTTGCTGTAAATTGGAGAATTGAACTATAAAAAGAATGAGAAAAAATATATCAAAGGCAATAGTGCATTTCATAAATATTTATGGGATAATCATTTTTCAAAACTTGATAAAGTAGATGATCCTTCTGAGGTTGAAGAAAAAGGTACTTACTGAGTTCTTGCACTTAAGGAGCACAGTCTAAGTGAGCACAGTAGTAGACAGTACTATGATAGAAATAATTGCATTCTGTGTTAATACATAGAAGAATCCTATAACTTAGATTAGAGATGGTAATTGAGGGACCAACTAAGAGATACCTTCCCAGAGGAGGAGATGCCTGAGCTGAGACCCTGAAAGATTTGACTAGCTGAAGAGGACAGTAAAACATCTGAAAAGAACATGGTGTATCCAGAGAATCATAGAGTTATACATGGCTGGGATTAAGGGGAACGTGTTGAGAAAAAGTGTGAAA